CACGGCACCGGCCACACGTTCAAAGCACATGCTAGAGCACGTGCTTCCCATGAAACGCTCCCTTCCCTAGCTAAGCAAGGATGTTCCCAAGGGCCCAAGTCTCATGAAACAGTGATTATCCCAGAGTGCTCTGGGAGTGACGCTCCGATCTCGTACTTGCAGTAGCAGTGCCTTAATCCAAGTGGGAGCACGCAGCCAGCGTGCAGACAGCACCAAGCAGCGAGGGATGCTTTTGCAGTGTTCAGCAGCAGTCACATCTTCCATCCCCCAGGAATAATTAACAGTAGACATATACCCAGCCATAGAGAGACAGGCATTATCTCCACTAGTTCTTGCAGCTTCTTTCTTCAGCTCCTTATCACGATCTCCGTTTTGCCCAGATTAAAGCGCAGGATGCTCCACAACTCCACTGCAGCTGAGAAGGGCCCAAAAGGCTGAGCCAAGAGCTACCATGGCACGGACACCATGCAGCAACATACACGCCATGGGAAAGCCCAGCAGCAGCAGCCAGAGGGGGAAAAAAGTAGGATTTGATCTTCACAAACATGGAATGAGCTTTAGCAAAGCTCATGAGGACAAGAAGGGAAAACKCTCTGCAGGAATAAAGCACAGCTCTGGATCAATTCCCCATGCATCTTTAAATTACAAAAGCAGCAGTTCCCAGAAGTACAAACCCTAGCATYCCTTAAATCTGTCATCCTAAACTCACCTGTTCAGAAAACTGTGGTAGACAGGGCTTTTTTCTAGGCAAATTCAAAATCTATTTGGAATTTACAAATGTATTTGCATGCGGGCCACTACCTTTCAGTTAAAAGCTCAGTTTTGTTCCAAGTTATCTCCTAAGCTTCAGAACCAGTATATATTATTGACAAGCATGCAAGTTGCACATCCGTTAACATTACAAAGTGAGGGACAGCCTAGGTGATCAAAATTATCAGTACAATTCTCTCAACCGAGCAGAAAGCAGAGCTCTGTGCTCACAATATAACCGTGTCACCAGCAGCGCACGCAAACCAGAGCGCACCAAACAGCACGGGCCCGGCRCCGGGAAAGCAGCCCACGGCCAGGAGCTCGGCATCAGCACTTCTGTGTTCATGTGCATTACCTGTCAAAGGCTAACAAACCTTCTCCTGAGAAAGGTGACATTGTTATGTTAATCAGAACGGACTGTGACCATCACATCTTACTTGCCGACAATGACAAGGCACACAGCTATGGATTAAGACGCCTTTTAAGAGCCCTTGACTTTTGTATCAACCAGGGAAYGGACATGGAAGCTTAAAACATCTACCACTACCATGTCAGGCTTTACTATTTAAGAGTATTAAATATTAAAATGAACCTCCTTCCAATTAGCTTTTCCTTCCATTTTTAAAATGGCAAAGGATTGTAGAAAAAACAGAGTCACTTTAAAACAGTCTTGAAAGAATTATATTCTCTACATAAAGGCAGAAATGCAGGAAAAAATCAAAGCTGGTTATTTATTTATAATGAAACATTTCCAGACCCATATAATTTTTAAGAAGTGAGATGAGTTTTACAAATATTATTGCATCCAACAGTAGTACTCCCTCACTTAGACTAATAAAGATAATCAAACAATTTTGAGACCCCATCAATGTCTTCATAAATTTATCAAAGCAGTAAATTGAAAAGTCTGTTTCACTACCACCTGCGTGAAATCGAAGAAGAAATCAAACATCTGACAAAAACATTCATAAAAAGCGGGAATCATTTCTCACAAAATGAGTATTGTTATTGCTTTAAACAGATTTGAAATAAGTCCATAATTTCCTTAATGGCTTTCCAGTAGTATTTGCTGTTCTACTCCATTACTGGTTGCTTTAATACAGGGGAGACTAGAGGGCCAAATCATCCATATTTTAATAGGCGTATCTTCCATAAAAGTGGGGAGGAAAAAGAAACAGAAAAAGAAAAGAGATTTTGAGGGAATGTCACATTACTGCTGCCTGAGACCACTCAGAAGCACAGGGGAGCCCGGACAACCCTCAGGATGTTTTATTTTCTGCTCACTTATTTTATGGATTTAGCACATAAACCTCATTCTACCATGCGAGCTGCTTCAGGGTATGGATGCTCAGGGGAAGTGATAAAGGAAAGAAGCAGCAATTTGTGCTGGTTTGGGGGAGAAGGGAGAGGATAAGGCATTTAACATCAAGAATAGAGTGCAATCAAATTAAACCTTAAAGAAGAGGAAAGCAAAACTAGTAAAATACTGTGGAGTGGGGGGAAAATTACCTTACATGAAACTTCACAGCCAATCTTCCTTTTGCMGTTTACAGAAATTAGGTGAGCAGAACTACTTAATTTACTTTATTGCAGCAGAACTATGGGAATTTCAGTTGTTAAAACGGCAGTTCTTTAGGACACAGAATTATAATTTTCCCAAAGCAACTAATTGAATATAAAAGGGAGCCTTTCAAACCTTTGCTTCCAGACGAGYGTTTGCGCATTACTAAACATGCTCAAGTTACATTCCAGTAGCCAAGTCAAACGATTTACTCCTTTGCATGTCACAGTCTTATAAAATCTGCCATTGTCGCACACACATCAAGCTATCTCAGCTAGCTGCTATTTGATACACAGTTCTTACAGTACATGACAAAGCTGCTCATTTGGAGAGCTTGGAGTTATTTCTTTGTGGCTTGAGTGGGAAAGCAGGGGAACTGTGGTTCCTTTTGGTTTTCGATGGCTGGAATTTTTAGCTTTAAGAGATTTTTCTTCCCAGTGGCACATTAGCTCTCTGCCAACCTCAGTCCTTGCTCCCTCTCCCAAAGAATTTCAAACGCCATTTAACATGGGGAACCAAGGGCAAGGACATAGTTACTTGAAAGAAAAGGTAAAAAGAAAAAAAAAGTGTTTTATATACAACCTACAGCTACACAGCATCTCCTCAGCATTATCCAACAAAGAATGACACATTGGCATCGGGCTAYTACACTCCTTCAGGTTTCCGGCTGCAGAGCTGCTTTCCAGGGGTTCAGGGATTGAAGAACCACAACAACAGGCACCCCACAACTTATATAGGCATACATACATCAGTACCCATCAAACACTTACCAGTCACCACTGCTCCTCCCACTTTCCCAAGTTTCCTGCTAACACACAATTCCCACATCCAAATATTGCAGCATCTTCATTTAGGAARAAAAAATCTGACAAGCCTTTTTCCAAACTATAGCCATAACTTCTTTTCTGAGCTTAATGCCTCTTACCAGAGCCACTCTTTYGGCTCATACTTGGTATCACATATCATTAATTTCAAGATCCTTAATTTTGCTTTCATGGACTTGCAACTCTATTTCTTTGTTAATTAACAATCTTCTCTTGGATTCGTTTTCCAAGATACCAACTTTAGTAGCTACTCGACTGCATCCACAATTACAAAACCATCTAATGATACTTTTCTACACTAGAAATTCCTGGAGGTAAAAATCTCTTCTGAGGACTCCACCAGCATCCTAAATTATCCCTTCTGAATTTGTCCACACTGAATTAACACATTTTTCCAATAGCCACTACTCTGTACAGTCCTTGAAGGCTCTGATTATAGTCACAGGCAGACCTTGTATGTACGCAAGCCTCCTCATTCTCACAGGAAGAACCACCAGCTATTTGTTTTCTTAAATCTCACTAATCTCTCTTTCTTTCTTTCTTTCTTTCTCTCTTTCTTTCTCTCTTTCTTTCTTTCTCTCTTTCTCTCTTTCTCTCTCTCTTTCTCTCTTTCTTTCTTTCTCTCTTTCTCTCTTTCTCTCTTTCTCTCTTTCTCTCTTTCTCTCTTTCTCTCTTTCTCTCTTTCTTTCTTTCTCTCTTTCTTTCTTTCTCTCTTTCTTTCTTTCTCTCTTTCTTTCTTTCTCTCTTTCTTTCTTTCTTTCTTTTTTGAGGCACAAGTATTGCTTTAATTAAAAAGCAGCCAGGGCTTCTTGCCTCAGACTACATGCAAGCACCATATATTAATTCAGATATCATATATCCCTTCTGCTGGCACCTAAAGGTAGCACTCTGTGCCAGCGTTTTTCCTGGCATCACCTCTTCAGGGATGACATATGGGGCAATTTTATTCCATCTGCCAACAGCAGGGATCCTGCTGCCTGTTGTTGCCGTTGCCTCTTACAATAACCAATTTTGCACCTTCATCATCTGCAGTACTGTCTGATGGCACATCACATACACTATGTTTTACCTACTGTGTCTGTCCTCTCAAATTTGCAAGACTTGTGCTTACACCAGAACTGTATCTGTCATGTATGGCARTTCTGAGATCAGCTCCATTCTCCCACTGAAAGACAGATTTGGGTATCTGTTTGTGTACTGACCAGCGTTAGCTTTCAGTTGGCGTCCTCCTACTCAGAACTAAGAAAATTTCTAGTGCTTTCATTCTCATCATACCATGTGGGGAKGGGTCATTCTTTAATTCCGCTTTTCACAAGTTTTGTTACATGCTATTTACTTCAAAGAGACCTTTTACTTTAGTCTCAATGAAGATGTTTATTAACATTTTAAAATGTCTCTGTTCTSCTTCCATTAAAAACGATCAAGCTCAGTCACTGTTGTCTAAAATCTTGGCATTTTCTCCATAGCTCAAAACTTATATGATTTTTTTTATTCTCTCACCCTGGACTGCTCAAACCTATCTATTTTCCACATAAATATTGCTTTTTATTGCAAATGAACTTTCATGATGCATAACAATAAAACAATAAAAACAAGTAGTAGAACAGGCAACTGCAGCATCATCTAAACATTTGGCAAAATTTGCTCTAAAAACTCATGCCAAGTAAGTAAACCCTCAGAAAAATCACCRTAAACTCTAGTGCATCCTGTGATTTAAAGTTGGAATACCACAGGAATTACCACTTAGGTGCCTTTTTTTTTGTTTTTGATTGTTTGTTTCAATGTATTGACAGTCTTTGCATGCCACATTGGGTAGGTTTGAACAATGTGCAGAATAACAGCTAGCAAAGGCAGGAAAAGTATATTTATGCACATACTTCTAGCTTTTGTTGGGCAAAACCAGATTGCATTCCCAATTCTAAACACAAATCATGAGTTGGAYGTACAGAATTTTTAGAATTAAAATCAGTCTGTTTACAGTTGACATACCTGCTCCTTGGAAGAAACATRGATTCTTTAATGAAGACTGAACCAGACAGCAGGATGTACCAACAGGTTCCAATATCATCAGGGCTGGAAAAAGAAAAAAATAAAGAGAGGACATGGTAAGACACTTGATTTAAGCAGCTGGTAGTACCAGCAGACTTCCAGTAGGAAAAGCATCACGAAGAGCCAGACACTCCCAAAACTGTGGAAGAAAGCTACTGTTCCATTATTTCATGGGAAAAAAACCCAACCTTTAATCATTCTAATTTCCACCTTAAACCACACGCATTACTAGAATGCCTCATAACATTTACTTCACCTTTCAAAAAACCAAAGAAAACAAACCACAGATCTATCTATTCGGTAGTAACACAGAAGTCCAATGAATTGTGATGGAGATGAGTTAAAAGGCAATCACACTATACTAGTGCACTGTCTTCTGCTGAATCCTTCACTTTCCTCTTCCCGAGAACTGTAGCAGCTTCCCCTGCACACATAAGGCTCCTTCCTGACTCCAGACATCTGCCTCTCTCCCTTGCTTCAGCACAGGAATATGCCTCTTGGCATTCTTCCACCTTCCCCAAAAAAGCAAAAAGGCACTGAATACATCTACAGATGCAAGCCTACATCAGATCTGCAGGCAGCTTTGCTGCTGCTCACTGCTCCTCTCTTGCTTCTTTCTGGCATGAGGAAACAAAATCCCCCATTAAAGGGAGAGTTTCTTCTCCTTCCCCTCATCTTAGAGCAGCGAGGGTGTGGATGAAGGCTGCATCTGCATCCCTTTGTCATCTGACCCCCATTTTTTGTGCTGTAGGTTCCAATATTTCTCCACAAGTTCCATGAAACCCTTTTAACAGGCTCCAACTCTCCTCTTCGATAACTTCAAGTAATGTTTAGACAGCGAAAGAAACCCATTTAAGGTTCCCAGAAACAGCCACAGCAGGAATCCTGTGCTATTCTGACAGACCTGGATATTCAGACTTGAATACCCTCCTCCTGCTTCTTGCAAAGCAGCTCAGGAACAGCAGACTGGAATCCAGCCACTCGCACTAGCATCCTTATCCCAGCACACCTGCCTGGTGACACGCTTGGAGACACAGATGGTTTAATTAATCTGTAGCACCTTCATTTTTTAAAATTACACCCCTCAAGTCTTTAGCAACAATTAGTTCCAACTTCAAGCAAGTGCAGCCCACGCCTTGTAGCAGACGATGACAGCACAGTGTTTAAATGCGATGTTAAATCTCAGCAGGATTCGTGCAGTTGGCAGCACGCTGCTTAGTTGATGAAACAAAGCTTGGAGAGGACCTGCCAGGCAAGGGCCTTCCCAAAGCAGGAGGACCACTTCTTTAGCACTCCCTGCACTACAGGAAAGAGAAAGGGGGCAAGGGAGGGCTAGAGCTGGCCTAAAACAGCTGAAAGTAAACAAAAAAATCACCACATTTAGGRAAAAAAGCACTTCTATTTCACACTTTAATATCACCACGAGAGAAAGGACAGACATTGGAAACACAGAGGATGAACAGASGAAATTAAGACTGCAGTCTATGACCAAGASMACAAGAATTGATTCAAATGGTGCAGACTGTGTTTGCTTTCTATTAGGTCTATGACCAAACCAGCCAAACAAATACATCATTTAGGACTGCAAACTCCAGCAGTTCTTCAGCTTTAAATAGATATGCTCTAAAAAGGGAGTAAACAGAGAGTAAATACCTGAAGAACAAACCAATGAATGTAAAAAGCACTTCAGACAACATATCATGCTTACTATTGATTTAGTAATGTGAAGTTCTACTCAGCACCCAAATTTAATGCTTTTTATGCTTTTGCTGATATGAAAATCCACGTTAGCATGCTATCCTTGCAAGAAGTCAGCAGTAATTGTACAGAGGCTTATGCTATAGTTTTTTCATGCYACTCTGAATTGAACTGAAATTGTTGTCCTTACAAATTATAGTTAAGCTTGTCTCATCTTCCTCACTGTTTCTGCTTGAAAATAAAGCTCATTCCACCTACGTCTTACTTTGGAGATAAGAGTGGGTACTTTGCTGATGGCTCATRGCCAACACTGTGGGATGTTGCTTCGATTACAAACCCAAGCATTCGGGTTATGATACTTAAGTGTGCAAGTACTCACCCTCAGAGATGAGCTGTTAACGTGGTGCCTCCTAGTTTATACGCCTTCACCAAAACTCCTTTTATGTCAAGATATATGTAAATTTAATCCAAACTCAGAAAAGAATTTATTGCAGAACACAAGTTTTGCAAGTAGATTTCCTATGCAAAGTACCTTTCTCACTGAAAATTCAAGCACGGGGGAGCTCGCTATAGAAGCCTGCCTAATGAGCACCTACAATTCCTGGAAGAAATGACTGCTAATATAACCAACATTGGACATGTTTGTCAACTGGAGCTCTGTCCGTGCTCCTCTACAGCAGATCTCTGCATGCACAYACCCTAACTGTGCTTCCCTAGGAACACAAGCACTCATCCCACCCTAGCTTGGTGTTTATAACATTTGAAGCATCTATACAGCTGCTCCATACCTATATTAATGTGTCCAGGCTTCTTTTGTAAGCCTTTCTGCTTGTTTGATACATGAGCTTGATCAAGTAGATCCTGCCTGCGAGCCTGTTCAAGAATAAACCAGAATAAGCTCAGCCGAGAGCTCCTACAAGCCATCGCTAAGCACTGTGCCTTTCATCGCACAGAATAGCATAATGGTTGAGGTTGGAAGGGACCTCCGGAGATCACCTAGTCCAACCCCCCTGCACTAGCAGGGACACCCAGAGCACGGGGCACAGGGTGGCATCCAGGCGGGTTTGGAAGGCCTCCAGAGAAGGAGGCTCCAAGACTCCCCAGAGCACAAGCTCTGTCGATGGCCTCATCGCAAGGGCGCGTGTGCACCACAGCCAGCATGTAATGGCCGCCGCCAGCCCCGCCGCCGCCATGTTTCTCGCAGGTGCATCGCAGCGCGGGGCGGGCCGGGCTGCCTCGTGAGAGGAGGCCCAAGGGCTGTCGCGGTGCCGGGGCCTCCTGCCGCGGCGCTCCCAGCGGCAACATCGCTCCCCGAGGAGCCACCGGCCTTTCCGAAGAGCCAAACCACGCTCTTCAGCGAGCGCTGGGCATCTTCCAAGCGCAAACCTACTCTGCCCTGACAATATGAAGTGCATTTTATACTTCTTTAAGCAGTCACTAGCAAATGAGTCAGTAACTTGGCAGCAGAGCTGAGACAGCAGACAGTTGTGATTTACATAACGACACACACGCGGCCGCCCTTCTGAGACGCTCCTCACATCTTTGCTTCTCACATGGAGCTGCTCTGGGCTCACCCGACTTGCTCATCTAGAAAAAACATAAACGTGGGACGTAAACACAGAGTGCCAAGTTCAAGCTGATCAACTCCAGAAAACCTGCCCCTTAGAGAAAAAAATACTGCTCTCAAAAGCATAAACCTGCACCTCTGTTAAATCACATATTTAGACATTCTTTCCCCCAAATTCATCCTGAAACAGCCCACAGTAAGCAAGAGTCTGCCCCAGGAATAAGAGGACACAGAATACATCTTAAAAACCACATGCATAGAAGATGCATTCCTTTCCTCAGCACACACACGCTACTCTCCAAAATAACACCAGCAAAAGACTTCAATCCAGTTCTTTTATATGAAAACATATTCAACTCCCACACTTCCCAACGCTTGCTGCACTTTCATTCGTTCAGAATTAAAGTTTTAAGAGCAAAGGCACTTTGGCAGCCAGCTTCTTTTCTTCCTTTCATTAGACAGCACTGTTATGCAAACCATGTAGAATTCCTTTAAGGACAGARGACTTTTCATAATGCTATTCAGGCATCAGGTGGTTTTCAATTAATTCTCTAGTGCATTTGACATTCACTGAGCTACAGTACATCTCACATTCCTCCGGACTTTCGTGCCTGTAACGAACCATGGAAGAAACGACACAAGAAGCTACTGAACTACAAAAGCACTTTTTCAAGCCACGTAAGGGCTCACACACATACCATTTCATCCAAAGCAGAGCAGTTGCATCTAAAAGGGTTTCTTTGCAATCCCATATTACACACACATATTAAAAAAAAAAAAAAAAAAAAGAATTAATTCTGGAGTATAAACCTAAGCCTAACCTTGAAACTTGAGCTGCGAGAATACTGCATAGCACTAGCAGTCTGCGAAGGTGTCTAGAAACTGTTTGTCCTTCCAAAAATTCTGCCCATCAGTGGGATCAAAATAAAAGAGGCTTGAAGATGCTTGTAGGGGCTCTTTATGTAAGGGAGCACACACCTGCCTGTTTTGGGGAAGGGTATCACCTGCATGTGTACGAGCACTTCATCAAGAGCCAGCTGGAGCAGAACATACAGGGGTGATTGCCCCCTAAAAGCCTCCTTAGAGAAAGACTTGACTCAAGGAGACTGAGGAGTCACCTGGGTCCAGCAGCATCTGCCAGTCAAGTGGATGCTACAAAGATAAGACATATCTGCCTAGGTAAGAGCTTTCCAACAGTTATTCTTGCAAGGGTGCCATGCTGTCCACTGCAATAACCATCAGCAGAACTGTAGCTGTCAGGCACCAGGAGCCTGGAAGCAATGCCCAGGAACACAGCACATCTGCTCATCTTCAAGGGCCTCCCCAGTCGTGCAAGGTGCCTTGCAAGGGTGCAGGAGATACTGGAAATTGGGACGGATGTTGGCAGCTGTGATTTCCAGCAGATCTCCACAAGTGCTCCCTGCAGGCAAGAAATGCTTTTACCTGCTCCCCTTCAGGACTGGAATACACTGCCTCCAACACTTGAGAGCAGTGCGGGTGTCTGTCAGTCGTGTCCCATAACCCCAAACCCAGCTCAGCCACCAGGTCACTCTGGGTATTCACGGGGGTGAAATTCAGGGCTCTAAGTTATATTGCTCACTCAATACAGCACAGCTATCTGCTTTCCAGAGTCAGAGAAAGCAAGATGACACCGAGAAGCACAAGAAGTTCAACCCCAAAGCCACATCTTAAGGGGCTGTTAAAAACATTGACTTAATACAGAGAGCCATTGTGGTTGGCTATACTAAATCTAACAAAA